AGAACAAAGGGTGACCTTTAGCCTGTGCAATGGAATATATAGTGAGATGTCATGTAAACTGGAAGTCCCAGTTGAGTTGAATCTGGTGACCAGCCAATCCCAACTCAAGCAGTTAGTCTCCCGGAAGGGCGAATTAGTTTGTAGAGAGAAAAAAACAAAATTATTATTAATTTTCATTATGTATGAAACTTTTGACTGACAAAATAAAATGCAATGCCCCAGAAGAGGATGGAATCAATAATTTAATCCTGAAAAACTTATCCAATGAAATCCTAACCCACTTAGTAACAATTTATAATTTATCATTACTATCAGGATATTATCCATCTATTTGGAAATCAGCTATTATTAAGGTAACCCAAAGAAAAATAATAACTTAACTATTCCCAGCAGCTACAGACCCATTAGTTTGCTAACCATCCTTTGTAAGTTGATGTAGAAATTAATCATGAATTGGTTAAACATTTACCTAGAAACCAACAATATTATGAACAACGTACAGAATTCAGACAGAAAACCTAAACAAACCACTGACCACCTCGTTAGATTTTCCAAAACCATTTATCATGGTTTCAACAGAAAGCATACAACCATAGCTACATTTCTAAATGTCCAAAAAGCCATTGATTTGTTATGGCACAATGGACTGTGCTATAAACTAATCAATAATCACGTGCCCACCCCTATTGTATGCTGGATTTCCAGCTTTTGACATCCTGTTCCCTTCGTTAAACCATACACTTGTGTCTCAATATGCAGATGATATTTCTATCTGAAATATTTCTAGTATCCCATGTACTGGGATATTTAGGGTCCAAATATCACTCATTGCAGTGTCAGATTGGTGCAACAAGTGATGTTTAGCCCTCAACCCATCCAGTTTCCAAGCTATAGCTTTTTTATAGGAAAATAAATAAAAGTAGGAAAAAGCTTTATAATCTCCAGTTAACCCTTAACAATTCAGGCACTGATCAAGTAGAATATTAACCACCTGATCAGTGAAAGTGGGTTTTCTCAGGGTACTCCCCCCCCCCTAAAGATAGTAATATTTAAACGGGCTTCAATTTATTAAAATTAATGGCAAAAAAAAGACTAAACAGCTTTGGTTGAATTAATACATAAAAATGTAACTTAAATTTTGATTATAGAATATGAGGGGGAGCAGTTCTTCTCAGGATGGGGATCTATAAGTCCAACGAAAATAATTTTGCTGTTTGCTAGTTGTAGATGTATTTGTCACCTATCAAGAATTAATTAATTAATCACTTCAGACCCTAATTATCACTCTTATTTATACAACTTTGAACTGGATGTCCTTCATACAGTCATAGTTCCTTTAATCATCACACCTGCTTCATCATCATCAACATCCATAACAATCCTTCATATTCAGTGAGCAGCCCTCTTCAGTTTCAGTATCAACCTCTTTCTTTCAAATAATTTTCTGTCTCTAGCTCCCCACTGTTTCAGGTTTTCTGTGATGTTTGGTACAAGGTGTCAATTCTCCTTTTTTATATTAGTAACCAACCATGCTTGTGAATCAGTCTCTCATGCTTCAGCAACATTAAGCTCCACATTATTTCATCAAAGTACTCAAAAATCTTAAAACTTAATTTTTTATGTAGCCTTTTTAATTGTTCAACCAAAGTTTTTGTGAGCAGGGTGAATAGAAATTAAAGTTTCAGATTGCCCTGGTTGCCTTTCAGGCCCCTTCTGGACCTGAAGATCTTCAATCCAAAATATCTTATGAACAAATTGTTTCTTTGCTCTTTTGTCTTGGACCCTCAGATCGCAATATCCCTTCAGATCAATGGGCAGCTTTGTTTGTGACTTTGCTGCTCACTAGCATGAGTCATTTGGGATAGCACAATCAAGTGGGAGTACCTTAGCTGTGACAGCTTTGGCAAAGGCTATGAACTGCCTGGAACACATCATCTTGAACACATATTGATTGATCTATCTACACAATACATAACACACTGCTTGGTAGGCATGATAGGCTATACATGCTTTATACTTCATACACAAGCACAGCCATCACACGTCTTCGAGCTAACCATTCATTGCATGGGTATTCATAATTACGATGTTTGTGGACTGATGAGTGTTCATAAATTTGGTAAGGCCCATTCATGGTTTATCATAAGTCCTGCTCGGTTAAGAAACGCTTAGATCAATTTACGTGGTGTCGAACATCTAATGTCTCTTGATTTTAAGGGACCATGAAGGCTACCCCGAAGACACTTTTTATAGGCCCACT